TGGGAACAGAACCCAGGTCCTCTGTAAGAGCAGGGAGTTCTCTTCAATTCTCCAGTGCCTCTGAAAGTTACTCTTTAGAAGTCCCTATTTCCTTGAATATTTAACTTGATAACTACTTAGGGATGAGTTTTATTTTTTTCCTCAATGACTTATTTTCCTTGGAATTTTTTTCATGGGAATTCTTTACGCAAAGGACAAAGCTGTGTTCCCTTGGAGAAGTTTTGCCCGTCCCTCGTCCAGGAGCTCCACCTGAAGACCTTCTCAGTCAAGAGTCACTCAAAATCAAATTTAGGGCCTGATGTATTTTGGTCTAAGTGTTGTGAAACTGAGCTCCAAGTTAAATGCAGACGGATTTGCGAGTCCAAGTTTTCATTGATAATCCTTCCGTTTCTCCTCAGTAGTACAATCTCACACTACATGTGTGTGCACACGTGTGTGTGTGTGTGTGTGTGTGTGTGTGTGTGTGTGTGGTGTGACCTGGCTTGGGAAGTAAGCTGTTCCTCACATTCCTAGACCCTCAATGTGCAATGAAGGCAGCAAGCCTGTCTCCACAGGTCTCTACTCTCAAGACGCTGAGCAGGCTTGTCCATGTAGTGGCCAAGGTTCCCAGAAGCAAGAGAGAAAGCATTTATGTCCTTACCTGGCCTTTGCCTGCGTCCTGTTGGTCATATAAGTCATTCAGGCAAGCTCAGATTCCAGCAGATAAGTAGATTCCTCGTCCTGGTATTAGGAGAGTGTAAGTCACATTGCAACGGATACGCAAGTGGAGACGGCTTGTGACATTTGTGCTGCCATCTGCTCCAGCCATAAATGCCACTTCACAGAGAAAAGAGCATCTTACCAAAAACCGTTAGAATAAAATTTCTTCAAATGTAAAATAGCTAGTAGGAAGAAGAGAAACTAATTGTCTTAAAACAAACCAAACCAAAAAACCCACCTGAACACCCTGGACTATCGAGCATGCCCTTGCTAAGAACATTTTTCTGGAGTGCAGAATTCTGTACTCTCTGGTGTGATGAGATAATCTGGTGAAATTGCCTGTGTTTGGAGGGAAGGGCAGGCTTCTACTGAAGAGAGTGGATGAAATCCAGATGAATGGCTAGGGGAGAGTGTGAGGTGGTGAGTGGGTGGGCCCTGGAATAATTAGGAGAGAGAGAATGAGACAGAGAAGTGAGTTTGGCAGCAGGAAAAGGGGTGTGTGTGTGTGTGTGTGTGTGTGTGTGTGTGTGTGCGTGCGTGCGCGTGCGCGTGCGCGTGCGTGTGCGTGTGCGTGTGTGTGTGTGTGTGTGCGCGTGTCCGTCCATGTCTTAATCCAACCCCTTCCCCCAATTTGGTAGTTGCCTGTCCTGCTTTTCTGCTGTTTGGCAACATCATGTATTTATTATCTCTCCATAACATGGGAAGTTTGACCCTTTGCTCAAAGTCAGAGCCAAGGTCTTGACCAACCTGAGTCCTTACCCAGAGGCTTGTGCTGAGTACCAGCGGTACATCCAAGTGGTGATTCCTGTTATTGGCCATCACTTTGGATGTGGTAACAAAGTGCCACAGGCCAGGTGGCTTAAACAATGAACATTTGCTTCCTGGCCACCGTGAAGTGTGCTGGTCTAGTTAGGTATTTTCAAGGTAGATGGCCACTTTGTCACTGTCTGGTCACATGTCACAGGGAGAAATGTGGAGAAGATTGCAGCCAGCTCTTCCTTATCAGGGCACTAATTCTTTGAGACCACCACCACCACCACCACCACCATCACCC